AGGGCCGTGATCTGTGGTATTTCGTATCGTTTCTCTCGCCACGAGCTCAAAGGCTGCATCAACGACGCCAAGTGCATGCGCCACCTTCTCATCAACAAATTCAAATTCTCCCCAGATTCAATTCTCATGCTTACCGGTACAGTATTTCTATCTATTCAATGCGCCTATATTTGCTATCCTTGGATTTTGAATCTGATCAAATACAATTTTCCTTGGCTGTTCAATCTGATAAAACACATTCCAAGTTACCATTTCGAACCACTGTGATAAATGTGTTGAACTCCATAGCTGACTAAATAATTGTTCATCATGGATGGTTTTCTCAGAGGAAGAAACTGATCCATATCGTATCCCGACCAAGCAAAATATGAGAATGGCATTGTATTGGCTCGTACAGGGATGCACTGCAGGCGACTCCCTTGTCTTCCACTACTCTGGTCATGGTTCTCGTCAAAGAAACTACAACGGTGATGAAGTTGATGGCTATGATGAAACACTCTGTCCTCTGGATTTTGAAACTCAGGGGATGATTGTAGACGATGAGATCAACGCAACCATTGTACGCCCTCTTCCACATGGTGTCAAGCTCCATTCAATTATCGATGCTTGCCATAGTGGCACCGTGCTTGATTTACCGTTCCTATGCAGAATGAACAGGTTACTAGTCCCTCAACTGCTGCTAAAAGGGAAGTTGCTTACCTTCTCGTTATATTTAACAGACATCCATATTTGTTATTGAAACAGAGCTGGGCAGTATGTGTGGGAGGATCATCGGCCTAGGTCTGGTTTGTGGAAAGGAACAGCCGGTGGAGAAGCCATATCAATCAGTGGATGTGATGATGATCAGACTTCGGCCGACACATCAGTAAGTAGAACGAGTCTAATCATACGTCTTGCTGTTGTAGTTGGTTCCTCCTCTCATGATTAAAACATATACACAGGCGCTGTCAAAGATCACGTCTACGGGTGCTATGACTTTCTGTTTTATTCAAGCAATTGAACGCAGCGCACAAGGCACAACCTATGGAAGCCTTCTCAATTCGATGCGCACCACAATAAGGAATACAGGGAATGAGGGTGGTGGTATTGGTGGTAGCGGTGGTGTGGTGACGACTGTGCTGAGCATGCTTCTGACAGGGGGAAGTGCGATTGGGGGATTAAGACAGGTAAAATCCTTTCTTACTCTGTTGTGTTGGTACAGATTGGTAATGTTTTCTTAAATCTGTTGTTTGACAGGAGCCTCAACTGACTGCTTGTCAACCATTCGATGTCTATGCAAAGCCTTTCACGCTCTAGTAAAGACAATTCACTTTTATGTATAGCGAGTGTGATTTGATAATCCGTCCATTTAACCTTTTGTTTTTATTTTTCTTTCCAAAAAATTAAGGAAAACATTGATTTGGTGATTCAATAACAAAGTGTGCCATCTATTCTTTAGTCTTTACAAACAACAAGCAAATGGTTTGCCTTTCAGAATCAAGACTTAAGGTGTTTCTCGAATAGACAGAAGGAAGAGAAGACAAGTCCCAGAAAGCTGTTCAGTAGACGCATACACATCATGTATGCATTGCTGCTGCAAGGAAAAGCACTTCCGCTGTAGCAGCCTTTTCTTTGTTTGATGCCCCGGCCGTTATCTTCCAGAGCAAAGGAGGAGTTTGTCACACCATCGCTAAAGAGAAGGCACCAAAAGAAGGTACCTTTATGCAACCTTGCCATTCCCACTCCAACCTCGGTATGCGACCTGTTTCTGAGCACCGATAACGCTTTGTTATCTCTAAAGAGAATGTCTGAGAAAGTGACTTCTGGGGCTGCATACTTTGAGCTGCAGCCGAGGATATGGCCAGTTATGGTACCAAAAGTGGGGAGTTCTACACCACAGTTTGGAGCAAACACCTGAGTGAAGTCGTCTTCAGGGGGGTCACAGCTGAGAGTGTTATTGACATTGCAATTCCCCTCGCAGAGCTCAACATACTGGAGGGCCATGCAGCCAAGACCAGGACTCTCATTTAGTTTGCCGAGTTTCTGAGCTGTTCTGTTCTGGTTCAAGACGCCCACCATTTCATGAGCTGGGTTTCCTGCAGCCATTCTAACTAACACTTAGTCCGCCTAATATGAATCAACATAATATTAAACTGTCGAATCTGGTTCTAAAGAAAGAAAACTTGAGAGAAATCACTAAATCAGAGGGAGTGGCTAATTCAAAATAAAGCCTGGTCAAATGCTGAACGAGAAATCCAAATCTAGATTAGCGCAGATGTTGTGAAGGGATAAAGCATAGCCAAGGAGTTACCGTGCAATTTGGAGCTAGCCAGCACTAATGAGAGTGATAGAAACAGTAAAATCGACTTCAAAAAGCTAATTCCGTTCTTCATTTCGGAAAAACTCTCGTGTTTTATCCTCTGAATTCCCTGCGTAAATTGCTCAAGCTGGCGGATTAAACAAAAAAGGAGATTTTTTTTCAAAAGGAGTTTTCGCTTGATGGGAGTTTTCGCTTGATGGAGATGGTGACTGTCCTAAAGGAAGAATGTGTTGCATTATTTCTTTTCTTAAAAAAAAAAACAGGGATTTTGATTATTGGGCTTTAATTTGATGTTGGGCTCAACTATTGAATGAAGAATGAAGAATGAAGAATGAAGGAAAGTACGTGACTTAAATTTCTTTTACTTCATTAAATGGGCGGCGTTGGGGCCGGTGGAGGTGGGCCAATGACATTGATGTGTAAACAGAGGTAAAGCCGAATTTTGGCAAAGGCAAATCAATGCCCACTGGCTCCTCTCCTTATTACATATTTGAAGTTTGAGGTTTCTTTCCTTTTCTTAAAATATAATAATATATGTTGCTGTAAGAAAAAGAAAAAGAATCATTACATATTTGTCTAAAATCAAAAAATAAGAAGAAGGAGAAGAAGGAGAGTTTCTAGATGAGAAACGTTGAGAAATTTTGTGTCTTGTACATTGGTCAAATTTTGTTTTAATAACTATAATTTAATTATATAACTAAATTCAAATAAAATATTAATATTTTTTTTGTTTGAGAAACTTTTTGAGTTTCTCATGGATGGGTTATTATGTCAGGCACATTCTAACATTTTTACTAGGCTTGGGCATTCGGGTACCCGTTCGGGTTCAGTTCTTTTTTTTCGGGTATCGGATCTATTCCGGTAGGGAGTCAAGACCCATTCGGGTATTCTAAAAATTCAGTTCGGGTTCGGTTCGGGTTCGGATCGGTTCGGGTATTTTAATAAAAAAAACAAAATACCCGAAAATAACCAAAAATACCCGGAATATTTTCGGGTTCGGGCTTTTAACTCATATATACCCAAATCTAACCGAAATACCCGATTCCTCGAAAATACATTGGTTACTCTTTACCCAAATATAACCAAAAATATCTAAAATACCTAATATATTCGGATTTATGATTATAATTTTATGTATTTCGGGTATTATAAATATAAAAATAACTAATATTTTTAGGTGTATATTTGTATTCGGGTACATTCAGGTATTGGATTCGGTTCGGGTTCGGTTCGGGTTTTTTCGGATAGGAGGTTAGGACCCATTCGGGTATTTTTAAAAATCGGGTTCGGGTTCGGTTCGGGTATTTTCAGGTTTTTTGGTTCGGGTATTCGGTTCCGGGTATTTTGCCCAGGCCTAATTTTTACTATGGTAAAGCGGGCTCCACCACCATGTGCTTCTTCAACAGAGTCAGCAGTAGCCCACATGGTAAGAGCATGGTTATAGATGATACTCATATAGTATCATTAGGAATTTTTTAGTATTATTTATAATATTTGTTTATTGTTTGAGATTTTTTATGATACTCCTACTAAATATGTTTGCATTGGTGAGACCGGTTTAAGTATCATAAAAAAAAAAATGCAAAATCAAAAATAAATCTAAAAAAACATAGGATTACAAAAGATAATATTACAATAAAAAAACGTAGAATATACTTATGCAAAATAAAACATAAAATTCAAAAAAACTTTTAAAAAAAAACATGATGATAAATAAATTTTAAAATCCAAAAACCAAATCTAAAATAAAACAAAGTTATAAGTTATAAATCAAGTTACAGAGCAAACCGAAACAGAGTTATATGTAATCGACAAGCTGAGATAATCTAATCGACAAGGATCATAATCCCCTTTACTGTAATTTATCATATGTTAGTACTCTTATGATAAAAATTCCAACCTATAGCAAGAGTAATAGAGCTGAGAAAATAATCTGAGTGTACTCTAATATCAAACAAGGGGGTCCTTATGAGTGATGACAATGTATGACCAAAAAAACTTAAGTGTTACAAGCAAGGAATATGACTCACGAGAGTTTTTAGTGCTTGACATAACTAAGAATAGTCGAAGCTGCTAAAATGCTTGGTGTATATCGATGAGATTCCAAACCAGTGCAATGAATGGAGTTGCCCATTCTGTCTTCTGACGGATGCAAGAGCTGTATCAACTTCTCGGCACCAACAACTTGTCTTTCTCTCATCTTTTCATCCAAGAGTAGTCTCCTACAATTTCAAACAATATCTCACATCATCATCATCATCATCATCATGCCCATTCTCAATTGCCGGATAACATAATATAAAGTAAAAGTGGGTAAAAAGAAAAAGATATCATTCACTTTCTTGACATTTAACTTTAAAGCTTCTTCATTTAACTTTAAAACTTCAACCTGCAAGACAACAAAAGAGAATGATCACAAGAGATATCATTCACTTCCTTGACATTTTTCTTCTTTTGGTTACATAGCTTCTTATGAAGGAATTGATGAATTGAGTCCACAAATACTCTAATTAAAGACCTTAAGACACCAACTGTCTTACTTATCGACCTTAAGCTATGAAGACACCAACTGTCTTACTTATAGACCTTAAGCTATGAAGACACCAACTGTCTTACTTATCTTCCACAACCCCTTAAATCATACTCACTATTTGAATCTCATCCATCAGCCAGCTAAAATTTGCATAAACCCAATCCGTTTTTCTCTTTGGCAATTTATCAAACACCTTGTGTGCGCTCAGCAAAAACCAGAAACTTTGCAGCCATAAACCCATTCTTATCAAACCCAATCAAGCAAATCTATTTCTTGATTCCAATCCTATGAATCTAAACCAATAACCTTGTATCCTATGAATCTAAACCAACAACCTTGTATTTCTCAAGCTATAACACGACGTCCCTCTATTTTTGTCTCGAATGAAAGAACATAACACTAACGTGGAGGATGGAGAAGCTTGAAGTTCAGTTCATCATCGTTAAGCACAAGCTTGATATTCTGCAATGTCTATAAGTGGTTTTAGACACAAGAACAACAAGACCTGTTGTGTCGAGATTCATGACGCCATTCTCACCGAGCAACAATAAACACGTTACCGATTCTCTCCTTGAAGCCTCTGGATTTTCTCTTGATTCATCAACATAGCTTCTTTTTCAACCCAGAACACGCTCTGATCTGAAACCTAGCCTCCGCCGATCGCGTGAGAGGAGAGTTCGACCTCCAAAATGAATTTTTTTTTTCCTCCTTTCGATAAAACGCAACAAATCAGAAAATGACACGTCACTTGATACTGAGTATCAAAAGTGTCATTGGACTGATACGTATCAGTCCCATTTTAATTGTTTGCTCCATTAAAAATTAATTTCTGGGCTTCTGATACTTTAAAAGTATCGCCCATGTACATGGTCTAATGCCTCTATATAACACTATTATTAGGGATTATTATGTCATGCACATTCTAAACAAGTACCTCCAAATTGCACTTCCTTCAAACTTCTTCGACAGTAGACTAGCTCAAGTACCTTTGGATGGCATTGAGACCCGGAGCTCTTACGGAGTGGCCATGGAGTCCCCTTGGTAGCTTCAAGTACCTCTTGGTGGCCCCGTTGGTGATGGCGAGCATGCACTCGTACGTGACGGCGGCTGTGGATGAGGAGAAAGACCTCAGCAGACTGATGATAGTCGTGTTGATGCTGTGGAGAATAGTTCACAGCCAGATATGGATCAGCGTGTCTCGCCAGAGGACAGCTAAGGGAACGAACAAGATCGTGTACAAGCCCATTGAGTTTGAGCAAGTGGACCGAGAGCGCACTTGGGACGACCAAATCATCTTCAACACTCTCCTCATGTATCTCGCAAACATCAAGCTCCCAGGCGCCTCCCACCTTCCCCCCTGGAGACTAGATGGAGCCATCCTCATGGCTCTACTTCACGCTGGAGTTCCTCTACTACTGGTTCCACAGAGCTCTCCACCACCATTTCCTCTACTCTCGCTACCATTCTCACCACCATTCCTCCATTGTCACCGAGCCCATCACGTGTACGTACCTTCATCCACCATTTTATTCTATTCTATATATACATCCATTCATATCTTTACTCAAACTTGGCAGCTGTGGTGCACCCCTTCGCCGAGCACATCGCCTACTCACTACTCTTTGCCATACCCATGGTAACGGCGTCCCTGTGTGGGATCCTCTCCATTGTTTCCATCATTGCATACATTACTTACATTGACTTCATGAACAACATGGGACACTGCAACTTCGAGCTTTTCCCTAAGCGTCTCTTCCACCTCTTCCCTCCCCTCAAGTTCCTCTGCTACACCCCCTCGTACGTCGTTTATAAAATCACTACTATTTATTTGGATTTGAATATATGCATGCATATATATATAAAATGGCATCAAATTATATGTTGAAGGTTTCACTCGCTCCACCACACGCAGTTCCGGACCAACTACTCTCTGTTCATGCCAATATACGACTACATCTACGGGACGACTGATAATTTGACCGAGTCATTATACGAGAGGTCGTTGGAGAGAGAGGAAGAATCACCCGACATCATTCACCTCACTCACCTCACCACACACGACTCTATCTACCAAATGCGCCTTGGTTTCCCGTCCCTCTCCTCTTGCCCCTTATGGTCTCGATCCCCATGGTACCTCACATGCTTCATGTGGCCCTTCACTCTCCTCTGCTCATTTGTCCTCACCTCCGCTCTCTCCTCGCGCACCTTTGTCTTTGAGCGAAACCGTCTCCGTGATCTCACCCTTCACTCTCACCTCCTTCCCAAGTTTTCCTTTCACATAAGCATTTTACACACATACGGGTTTACTTATTTATGTTGGACTTCACACCACTATTTTCCAAACTTTCACACACAAAATACATATTTATTCTCACTTAGCTTTTACGTACTACGTAGGAAGGAAATAACCTTTTAAAAAAAAAACAACCTAAAATGAACAATAAATCTTTTCTCGTTGGGATACCTTTTTTAAGTTGCATCTAAAGTTTACTACTAATTTTGCCACATAAAACATGCGGCGGTAGTATAAATCACTGCGCCACCATGAGTCCATCAACAATATCATAGAGGAAGTTATTCTTGAAGCAGATGAAAAGGGTGTGAAAGTAATCAGTCTTGGCCTGATGAACAATGTAAGTTAATTTATTTACTTCAAAGCCATCCTATATGAATAACTATTGGATAAGTACTGCAGCTAATTACACACGCTGGCAAAAGAAAAAAGTAACTAATTAACACACAATTAATGAGAGGGAGGAACTAAACAAGTCTGGAGAAATCTACGTGCAAAAGTATCCGAAGTTGAAGATAAAACTAGTGGACGGGAGCAGCATGGCAGCTGCGGTGGTTATCAACAATATTCCAAAGGAAACCACGGAAATTGTCTTTAGAGGAAATCTCACAAAGGTCGCTTCGGCTGTTGTCTTTGCTCTGTGCCAAAAGGGCGTCAAGGTTTGTGAAGATATGAGGGAATTGGAATATACTCAGCTTCTCATATCAAACAAAAAATAATGTAGTGTTGTGTATATATAGGTGGTCGTGTTACGCGAGGAGGAACACAGCAAACTCATCAAATCTGGGGTTGGCAAGAATCTGGTACTGTCTACAAGCAATAGTTATTACTCCCTAACGGTGTGGTTGGTGGGGGATGGAATAGAGAACGAAGAGCAGATGAAGGCAAAAGAAGGAACCCTCTTTGTTCCCTTTTCTCACTTTCCGCCCAACAAACTCCGCAAGGACTGTTTCTACGAGTCCACTCCAGCTATGCGTGTTCCCAAGTCTGCCCAAATCATCGACTCATGTGAGGTACATCTTTAAAAATTCCTATATATATGTTAGTTTTATATATCATAAGCTGGTAGATGTGTTCATAATCTAATGAATGAATGCTTATTAATTGTATATAGAACTGGCTGGGAAGGAGGGTGATGAGTGCATGGAAAGTAGGAGGTATAGTGCATGCACTTGAGGGTTGGGAGGAGCATGACTGCGGCAACACTTGCAATGTCCTCCGTCTCCACGCCATCTGGGAAGCTGCTCTTCGCCATGATTTCCAACCTCTCGGTCTCCCCCCATCTCATCTATGAGCTTTTCATATTCATATCTATCTCCCCTCTCTTGATTAATCTACTTCCCTTCCAGTGTTTGCCGTTTATCATGTTTTTCTATAGACTATATATATATAAGTACTAGCTACACCTTGTTACGCTTGGTGCCACGTGCTTCATATATGTTAGAAAGGGCAAACAATTTCGTCGTTTGAAATGCTTAGTTAAATTTTGAAAAACTCAATAAAAATCTTCAGAAACAGTGATATGATCATTACATCTTAACTAAATAATATCTGCGTGCATATTTAATAAAAACCAAAAATATAACATATATATATATATATATATATTTGGGTGCATCATCAAATCAAAGTAGTTGCAAAAACTGGACGAGGTTTTACTTAAATGGTCCTTACTCATGCATGGTCCATTTGCTACCTAATTAAGGATTGGTAGGGTGCGTATACATCTTATATAATTTGTGGCGGTGGGAGATGGATGGAGTTACTAAAAACGAAACGTATACAAGTACTATTCAAGGCTCGCTTAAGGGGTTTGCCCTCTGAGTATTAGATCTAGATATTTTTACGTTTCTTTCATTTAATGTCGGAACAACAGACACTAGCTGGCGCTTCAACGTGCATGATCTTGATTGGCTAGTAGATTCCAAGCATCAATACCTATCACATGCCCAACTTGGCTATGCATTCATGGGTAAATACCCTTACTTTCAATTATATCTAGAAATAAATATAAGAAGCCATCCATTAACCAGTGCATTTCCTCAACGCATGGATATGATCAGAACATCGATGAAGGTGGGAGGGGGTAATTAGCTGAGTGTCATAAATGAGGATCCATGTGGAGAGCATCCAATGGTAGTAGTACATGTTTGGTCTTAGCTGGCCCTACCACAAGGAATTAAACTGGTGGGACGATAGGGGTGGTTTCGTCATTCCACATATCTACCGATTAAGGAGTTTGATACCTTGCTATATAATGTACCTTGGCTCACAAGAGTTGGAGAGACAGTGCACAGACATATTACATTCGACGGTATAATGGCCACAAAACCAGGAGTCCTCACCGATTGGCCTTGGACACCCCTCGGGAGTTTCAAGGTGCACTCTGTTTTCTTGTCTTTAAAAAAAAACGCGCTTATGATCGAATCCCGTTACTGATATATATGTTGTTTTGACATGGAAACAATACAAAAGTACATCGTAATAGCACCATGGGCTGTCCATAGCACATACAGGTTTGTGACAGATGATCCAGAGAAGAGGGATCTCGGGTACTCCCTTGTATTCCCCTTCTTGCTCTTCAGAATTCTGCACAACCAGGTTTGGATCTCTCTGTCCCGTTACTATACGTCCTCGGGAAAGAGGCGCATCGTCGACAAGGGAATAGACTTCAATCAGGTCGACAGGGAGACCAACTGGTGCGTTTTTTTCTTATTTTTTACCTACCTGCGTGCGTGAGTATATATAATCAACTAATTAAATCCTGATATACACGTATATGCGCAGGGATGACCAAATCTTGTTCAACGGAGTGCTGTTCTATACAGGCATCTGCCTGTTGCCGGAGGCCAAGCAACTTCCCTGGTGGAGAACTGACGGAGTGTTGATGGCAGCGCTTATTCACGCCGGACCGGTGGAGTTCCTCTATTATTGGCTCCACAAAGCTCTCCACCATCACTTTCTTTATTCCCGCTACCATTCCCACCACCACTCCTCTATCGTCACTGAGCCCATCACTTGTAACTCTTGTTTCTTACCTTTGACTTCTACGCTGCCTATATATTTCGGATTATTTATTTATTATACGTAAAATACATCGTAAAACGTCCTAACTATAGTAGCTGTTACCTATGGGGCATATATAGCTATATATAATGTGATTATGATAAATGTATACAGCGGTGATACATCCGTTTGCGGAGCACATAGCATACTTCGTGCTCTTCGCGATACCGCTACTTACGACGTTGCTAACAAAAACGGCGTCCATATTTTCGTTCGCCGGATACATAATCTACATAGACTTCATGAACAACATGGGACACTGCAACTTCGAGCTAATCCCTAAGCGCCTTTTCCACCTCTTTCCTCCCCTCAAGTTCCTCTGTTACACTCCCTCGTAAGTCCTTTACAACTCCTCTTCTGTTTCATACAGTACCAAATTTGTAGAACACAATTTGGCGTAATGTAAGCATTTACCAGAAACCATTCTTGATATCTGATACAAACAACTAGTTAGTTCATATTAATTAATTCTCTTTTATGGCCATCATAAAATCTAAGCAAATAATAAAGCATACTAATACAGGGTATATATGCTATTATATATAATAGAATTCCATACACATTCTCCGTTCCTCTATAAAAAAGGGGTGACGTGATGTTGTTGTATGCTTAATATGATCGTTAACTACCGAATCCGTGGACCACAAAAAAAAAAAAAAAAAAACTATTTAATAATATCTTATATCGTTCAACGTCGGCACATACTCCAATTTCCCACAACTTTACGCATTGATATCATCTTTAACCAAACATCCTTTGAGAACTATAAATATCAAATTCATTAGTCGATAACTCGATATATAGCAGGTGGTCCCTCTAAAGCTTAAATTATATATAACCTTTCTTGATTCATATCTCTGGTGTCTTTTTTTTTTTCGGTTTTAATTTAGCTCAATGCTATTCTAAAAAAAATTCAATAGTTTATTGTTAAAATACATTAATCTTGGATAATAAATGGAGTATGAGAATTGCAGATTCCACTCGCTGCACCACACGCAGTTTCGGACCAACTACTCCCTCTTCATGCCCTTGTATGACTACATCTACGGCACAATGGATGAAAGCACGGATACGTTGTACGAGAAATCTCTAGAAAGAGGAGATGATATAGTGGACGTGGTGCACTTAACTCACCTGACGACGCCAGAGTCCATATACCATTTGCGCATTGGCTTGGCCTCATTTGCCTCCTACCCCTTCTCTTATAGATGGTTCATGCGCCTTTTGTGGCCTTTCACCTCTCTCTCCATGATCTTCACGCTCTTCTACGCCCGCCTCTTTGTCGCTGAGAGAAACTCCTTCAAGAAGCTCAACTTGCAGTCTTGGATGATACCTAGATATAATCTACAGGTCCTCCTCATCATCATTAATTGATCCTTTTGTTTAACTATTTTATAAGATATTTGTAGGTTGGTGAATTTGCTTGCTGATATATATATATATATATATATATATATATATATATATATATATATATATTAATGGTGATATATGATGCATGCAGTACTTGTTAAAATGGAGGAAAGACGCGATCAACAACATGATTGAGAAAGCGATACTGGAGGCAGATAAAAAAGGAGTGAAGGTGCTTAGCCTGGGCCTCATGAACCAAGTAGAGAAACCATCTCTAACTCTTTTGGTTTTACATTGGGTAGATGCCGTCCGCAGAGTTAAACTTTTGCTGAACTGAAACAGGGGGAGGAGTTGAACAGGAATGGTGAGGTGTATATCCACAAGCATCCAGAAGTGAAAGTGA